AAATACTCTGGAATTAGTAGGTATAGGTAAGAACTTTCTCAATGGAACCCAGCAGCACAGCAACTAAGAGATAGCATAGATAAATGGGACTTCATAAAACTAAAAAGCTTCTGCTCAACAAAAGAAATGGTCTCTAAACTGAAGAGAACACCCACAGAGTGGGAGAAAATATTTGCCAGCTACACATCAGACAAAGGACTGATAACCAGAATATATAGGGAACTTAAAAAACTAAATTCTCCCAAAACTAATGAACCAATAAAGAAATGGGCAAGTGAACTAAACAGAACTTTCTCAAAAGAAGAAATTCAAATGGCCAAAAAACACATGAAAAAATGCTCACCATCTCTAGCAATAAAGGAAATGCAAATTAAAACCACACTAAGATTCCACCTCACCCTGTTAGAATAGCCATCATTAGCAACACCACTAACAACAGGTGTTGGCGAGGATGTGGGAAAAAGGAACCCTCTTACACTGTTGGTGGGAATGTAAACTAGTACAACCACTCTGGAAAAAAATTTGGAGGCTACTTAAAAAGCTAAACATTGATCTACCATTTGATCCAGCAATACCACTCTTGGGGATATACCCAAAAGACTGTGACACAGGTTACTCCAAAGGCACCTGCACACCCATGTTTATTGCAGCCAAGTTATGGAAACAGCCAAGATGCCCACACTGACGAATGGATTAAGAAAATGTGGTATCTATACACAATGGAATTTTATGCAGCCATGAAGAAGAATGAAATGTTATCATTTGCTGGTAAATGGATGAAATTGCAGAACATCATTCTGAGTGAGGTTAGCCTGGCCCAAAAGACCAAAAATTGTATGTTCTCCCTCATATGCGTACATTAGATCAAGGGCAAACACAACAAGGGGATTGGACTATGAGCACATGATAAAAGCGAGAGCACACAAGGGAGGTATGAGGATAGGTAAGACACCTAAAAAAAACTAGCTAGCATTTGTTGCCCTCAACGCAGAGAAACTAAAGCAGATACTTTAAAGCAACTGAGGCCAATAAGAGCAGGGTCCAGGAACTAGAGAAAAGGCAAATTAAAAAAAAAAAAAAGATCATTGACCTGGAAGGTACTTCCATTTAGGACAAAGAAATAGAAGCAAAGCAAAACAAAATCCTAGGCTATATTCCCAGGAAAGTGACTATAAATGTATAAATACATTGTGAAAATAAACCGAGCAGGACTTTGCAATTGAATGGACACAGGCAATGACAGGACATAGGGATTCAAGCTTACATATTTGGTTGTCTAGAAAAATAGGCATACTTTTCATAGAAACTGGGAAGAGTAAAGATGTACCTTACTGAGATCTGGATAAATTCACCAAAGGAATGATACACAAAACCCAATTTCAAAGTTAAAGAAAAAAAGGAAAAAAAATTGCTGGAAGGATAGTTGGGCCTTCCAATTACCACTTACTCTTTCTTCTTGTAGGATTTTTCCTCGCTCCTCACATCAATCCTTTCTTCCTTCTAAATTATACCTCTTAGAGATATTCTTATCAACAAATCTGGTTACTGAGGGAAAAGTCTCATTGGTCTCATTTTTTTCTATATTGTAAAGAAATATTTCTTTAAAGCATTTTAGTGCCTAATAGCCCACTTTAACACATGCTAGCTGGTTGCTTAGAATGATAAAATAAGTAGTGGGAAACAACAGCAGCAAACCCCAAACAAGGAACCAGAAAGTTACAATGGCTTCTTAAAAAAATATATAGAAACATAAATGTTTTGGACTTTTTAAAATCTCATCTATTTTAGAATGACAACATGCTTTAACATATCTTACTGATATTAAGTAAAAATTCACTTTGTGCACTAACATATGGAATTGTAAGAATATGGTCCACTTTTGGGAAAATTTAAATGTCCCATTTTAAGTAATTTCGTTGAAAGAGTCTTATGTTGATTCCTGTTTCCACAATATGGTTTTGTAATCCAGTATAACTTGGATGCTTTCTGCAGATTTAAGAAAAGGGAGGATTTAAACATCCACTGATTCAGACTTCAAATAATAAGAGCATTTGTGTCAACAAGGTTCTCCTTCCAAACAAAACACAATAAACCACATCATTTTTTTCTGACACATACACGATTATCCACCCTATGTTTGGATTATCCACCCTACTCCAGATGACTCCACGACAGAACCGACAGAAATTGTCACTCCCTCTTGGTCCTTCCTTGCTCCTATGCATTTTGGAGGTACTCTTATGCCAGACTTTTGTTTCTTCATTTATAAGTCTTATCCTCTTTTCTTTAATAAGCTAACAAATATGCTACAAAAATGATTTGATGTCAAATCATCTTCTAGGTGATGATCATATGAGCCTACAGGTCTACCTGTTCCCTCTAATAGCACCCTCTTTCACTTTCTACTGTCCTGGTTTGTTGTAGTTACCCTATGTATCCTATTAATTTTTATCCTCTTATCCACAATTCTCAACTTAAACCAAGTTTTTCTTAAGATAAAATTATAGATTAAATTGAAAAAACTGAATAAGCTATTAAGTCCTACTTCACATTGTAAGAATTCCTTTGATAAAATCAGGATTCAGTCTCTATTTCAACTTTCAGGCAGCTAATTTATTACCTTTTGAGGTGATATTTTCCACTATTAGGCATTTCTAAATTTTAAGAATGTTCTTCTGGACTGGGTGTGGTGGTTCCTGCCTGTAATCCTAGGTGCTTGGGAGGAGAAGATCATGAGGATCACGGTTTCAGGCCAATCCAGGCAAAAAATTCACAAGACTTCATCTCAATCACTAAAAGCTGGGCAGAGTGGTATATGCCTGTCATCTCAGCTATGCGGGAAGAATAAATAGGAGGATTGCAGTTCAGGCCAGCCAGGGCATAAATGTGAGACCCTACTGGAAAAATATCTATAGCAGGAAAAAAGAAAAAAGAAAAGTATTACAGCAAAAAGGCTGTGGCTGTGGCTCAAGTGGTAGAGCATGTGCTTGGAAAGCGGAAGGCCTTGAGTTTGAACCCCAGTAGTGCCAAATTTAACAATAATGTTCTCCCTTTAGCTTTAATTTCATTGTTCTCCCTAGTCTAAAACTCTTATGTGGGATTTTTTTCCCACCACGGGTTTTCCTAATGCTCAGCCTAAGATACCCATTGTATAGTCTGAACTTTCAATTTATTATTGAGAATGTAATTAAATCATTTTATTGTTATTGTTGCAAGGCACAGGCACCAGTGGCTCATGCCTGTAATACCAGCTACTCAAGAGACAGAGATCAGGAGAATCAAGGTTTGAAGCCAGCAGGGCAAAGAGTTAGAGACCCTATCTTGAAAAAATCCATCATGAAAAAGGGCTGGTGGAGTGACTCCAGGTGTAGGTCCCAGAACCACAAAAAAGAAAGAAATAAAATGTATTTAATCTCTTTTGAACTTTCTTAGGAACAAAATGAAAGTACAGTATCTCTCTTATGGACTGCTGGGAGAATTAAGTAACAGTTCCTGAAGAGCAGATACTTTTATGTATTTTGTTCATTACTTAATTCTAAGTGCCTCCTGCAAGCAGTAGCAGGTATGGACTCCTCAATAATCTCAATGAACAATGAATAACAGCCCCTCCCACATGTAGCACTCAATAGAAGATGGCTATTTTTTCAATCTTCCTTCCTATAACCTGGTTTCTTGATTTCTCACTATAGTAATCACTCCCTTATGTAGTTCTCTGGTTTATCTTCTTAAAATTTAGTTCCACCAGATACAGTGTAGTGTGTGGGGATTTTGCTTTACTTGAACATAAGTAAAAAAGTTTGGATAGATGAGTTTACTGGGCAAATCCTAGTCTATTTATATAACTAATTGGCACTTAAAACCCTACCAATTTCAGGTGGCAGATGCCTGTAATCCCAGCCCTGGGGAAGCTGAGGCAGGAGCAATGTGAGTTATGAGGCCAGCATGGGCTACATGGTGCAACAGAATCTCACACACACACACACACACACACACACACACACACAAAAGCCAACAATAACAAAAATATTTTCTCCCAAAGCCATCATTTAAACTTTGGCTAAAAGAAAAGTATTAGCAAAGGAGTGATCAAATATATTAAGAGAAAAATCAGGATTGTGCAGTATCACGGAAAGCCATTGCAACCAGTATTTTTATTACTGCAGTTAGTAAACAGTCCAAGGTGGTGATTACCTATTAGCTTCTCCATCTAGAATACTCTCCTTGATGTCAGGACTGTGTAAAGCTCATCCACAGTCTTCACAGAGATCCCCAAATATTTTTGAATGGTTGAAGTAAAGACAAGAGTTTTCAAGATGCTATAGTCAATAGATAACAAATGAGAGGTGATTAGGACTAAATTCCCACCAGTGTATTTTCCAATAGCTAATTCAGATTGTGTAGCTTAAGTTGAGTGTAAACTGTTAAGATTATCACCAATATAAAGTGAAAATTCATTGGGAGCCTTTGGCAAAGGCATGCAAGCTGGGTCAATAAGTTATAGAACAGTAAGGTTTAGGCTTTTTTTTCTTTTTTAGTCTGGAGATTAGTTTGTAGATATTCCTTTTAAAAATTTAGGAAATGGAAGATGTTAAGCACAGAGAAAGACAGAAGAATAAGCCACTATAATAGAAAAGCACATTTTTTCCCCCACCAACACAAGTAATATTAAGTAGGGGAAAGTCTGAGATAGAGAGGAAGGCAGTTAAGAAGTTCCAATTATAAGTAGGGTAATCAGTCAGAGGGCTGTGGAAATCACAGCAATTAGGATCCCATATTGAAAAAGTGTCAACCCAAAGGGCGAATGATTGTTGCTCAGACTTGTGACTAAGAAAATCCCTTCCACCTACTTCCTGAGCTAATCATTCGGGCTACAACAGGATTAACGGTAAAATTTTCTTTTGTGCTGAGCTGTATTAACGAAGCCCTATGTAGATATTTTGTATATTAAAATGAAAATAACCCCCTAAAAATAAAACTGCGGTTACACCAAGGAAGGGTTTTAGAGAGGCCTTGTTCGTAAGCTAACTGAGGGGAGGCATTCGTTTTAAACTGAAATTCGAGTTGCGATGACACTTCCAAGCGCAATCAGGCGCTGCTGGAGCACAGTTCGTAAGAGGTCGAGTTTGACGGCAGGGACTGGGTATGGAGAGAATCTGATTTGGCGGCTTCGGCTCCGGCCGCCACCAGGCACTCGACGGCTGTCGGTCCGAACGCTTGGACGCACCGCCTGCCGAGGTCTTGGCTGAATCGCCTCAGGCCTGGCCAGGAGGAAGCTGTCTCCAGACACCATCGCCAAAGCTAAGGCCGAAGGGCTGAGGTCGCCTTGGGAAAAGCGGTACGCCACCCTGTTCCCTTGATCGCCGGCGGACAGGCACACATAGTTCAGGGCCATCTTCACACACTGCCCGCAGAGTCTGCGTTACGCACGCCGGTCAAACTGTGCCCTTTGCAGCTCCACAGATCAGTCCAGCCCATCTTGAACGCCAAGATTAGGTACTCGGGACGCCATAACTAAAGCGGCAGCAGATGGAGCAGCCTCCTCAAACGAGCGCTCCCCTCCTGAGCATGCGCAGTCCCCTCGCGCACGCCGACGCCGGCCAAGGGCGGGCGTGCCGGACGTCTACGTGGTGACGTCTGAACGTGGGTACGTGGGGTTTCCGAGAGTGCGCATTGGGTGCGACGGCCGGACCCTTCGGCCTACTTGGGGAGGGGGCGACGTTGAGATGGGGGCAGCGGCAGCGGAAGCGGACCGCACTCTTTTTGTGGGCAACCTTGAAACTAAAGTAACAGAGGAGCTCCTATTCGAGCTGTTCCACCAGGTAAGCGGCTTTTCGTTGTCGTGCTCGCCCGCCCGGCCCAACGTCCAGTCCCGTTTATTCGCGCGAGCTCGGCGGCGGTCGGGGAACCCCGCCCTCTCCGCCAGGTGGGCAGTTTGGGACTGGAGGGCGCCCCGAGGAGGCTCCGAGTGTCTCTTTATTGACTGGGCCCTGGTTAGTTGAGTCCGACAGTGGCGTTAGAGGGTGGTGGAGGCCTCCTCGGCCGCCCATTCCAGTGGTAAAGTTTCAGGGACCCAGGGGACCGGGATCCGTGTCGGGTCTTCGTTGAGCAATGCTTTTTCGTCTTTCTCGTCCTCTCTCTAAGATGATTGTCTTTGGGCGCCTTCCCAGCAAGAGTGAGGCCCTGAGTTCAAACCCCAGTGACGTCAAAAAAAAAAAAAGTTTGTCCGACTCAGACTTTAAGTTTCTTCGTATCTATTTCTACTTAAACTGCTTGTAAAATTGCAGACTTATTAACATATTTTTGACGCCCATAAATACTTCGTAGAAAAGCAGCATTGTAGTGTTTCTGGGCGAAAAAGGTTTAGGTATCCTATTCCTCCCAGCCCTGTTACCCAATAATTGTTTATGTTTGATTAATCAGTACAAAAGTTAAGTTTTAGTGTGGGAAAAACGTTTTCGTGCTCTTGATAAACGTTAATTTCCATGCAGTGAGAAGATGGGTTTTGGTTATCATTAAAACAGTATGGGTGTTAAGGGATTGTGTTTTCAATTCCGTATGAGCCCTCTTCCCCAAATAAGTTAATTTCATTTTCAGTTATAACTCTGATTCTTACTCTTAACCAATATGGGAATCCATGTGTATCCGGATTTTTAAGTTCCTGATTATATTTCCTGTTGCTTTTAATTTTGTATTCTCTTTTATTAGTAAAACGTGTATCTTCCTGAAGTTGTTTTATTTAAATTCTAAACTTGTTTTGTTTGTAGGCTGGGCCTGTAATAAAGGTGAAAATTCCAAAAGATAAAGATGGCAAACCAAAGCAGTTTGCATTTGTGAATTTCAAACATGAAGTATCTGTTCCTTATGCAATGAATCTACTTAATGGAATCAAACTTTTTGGGAGGCCCATCAAAATTCAGTTTCGATCAGGTAAACTATTCAATGATATTGGGAGAAGGATCATTTGCTGTTTTGTTTTTTGTTGCTAAGTTTATTCAGTTATTTATATTTTTAAATTTTTTTTTTGGCACTGGGGTTTGAATACAGGACCTTAGCTTGCTACGCAGACACTCTGAATATTTGAGCCACTCTGCCAGCCCTTTTTTTGTGGTAGGATTTTTCAAGGTAGGGTCTTGGGAACTATTTGCCTGGGGCTGGCTTTGAACCTGATCCTCCTGATCTCTGCTTCCTGAGCAGCTAGGATTACAGGCCTGGGTCTGTAATTTTATTATTAAGTTTTAATGATTCTTTTTTGGATGAAGATACTTAAGTTTTGTGAGTAGCAAATTTATTAATCTCTAAAAATGGGTAACATTAACACATGAATTTAGAAAACTGTAATTTTAAAATTGAGTTTAAAATTTCATCTTGGGTTAGTGAGAAGAACATACAGGTTTTATTACTAGAGGCTTCGGAGTTTAAATCCATGCTTTTAACAGAAAATGCTTGTTCAGGTTGCTTTGTGATTTATTTTCACAAATTTTGATTTCTTGGTCATAAGAAGGTGGGACTTTGTATGTACCCAATCTTACAATTCAGTGTGGGGATCAAAATCCTAGGGCCAGATCTGATACTTACACAATAAACAGTACTTTATTTGGAATGCTTTGTTTTGTATATCTGGTATTGTAACGTTCACTCTTGTGAAACTTAAAACAATAATTTGAAACATGCTTTTCCCTCTTTGGAGTGATTTGGAATGGAGGACACAAATTTTAAAATAAGCTTTTAAAGTTATTTCATTTTAGGAAGTAGTCATGCCTCACAGGATGTCAGTATGTCATACCCCCAGCATCAAGTTGGAAATTCAAGCCCTACTGCCACATCTCCTAGCAGGTACTGTTTTTCGTTTACTGAAATTTTCTCAGGCAATTATTTCAGGATGCATAGTGAGTGGATAGCTTCTTTCATTATGCTCCTACCTCTTTATTCTTCGTTGTATTACTTGCCATGTTGGATTAGTGTCATATGTTTCATCTCTTCTAAGGGAACTATAGGTGGACAGGTTATGTGTAGTCCTTTTACAGTAAAAACATATGTAACTATGTTCATTTGTAAAGACATACCCACATAAAAATGTATGCAATTGAAACAAAAATTCTCAAAATGTTGCTTACCTTACTACTTGCAGTACCCTGTTTTCTATTTTATTTCATCTCTCACAAGTTCAAGTTAAATGAATTGTATGAGCACTACTTGGTTGTTACTTGCAGTTTAAAAACACTGATTAGGAGCCAGGTGCTGGTGGCTCATGCTTGTAATCCTAGCTACTCAGGAGGCAGAGATAAGGATGATCATGGTTCAAGGCCAGCCCAGGCAAATAGTTCATGAGACTCTATCTTGAAAAAACCCTGCACAAAAGTCTGGTGTAGTAGCTTAAGGTGTAGGCCCTGAGTTCAAACCTTATTACTGCCAAAAAAAAAAAAAAAGTACCGATTAGGGTCATGTATGGTGGTGTACGGGAGTAATCTCAGCTACTTGGGAGGTGGAGGCAGGAGGATGAGAGTACAAGGTTGGTCTGGGCAAAGTTTGTGAGACTATTTCAAAAACAAAAACAAAAGGACTGGGAATGTAGCTCTAGTGTAGAGTATTTGCCTGGCGTGCAGGAGGCCCTAGGTTCAACCTCCAGTACCACAAAACCCACAACTCCCTCTTCCTTCCAGCCCCCACCCCCTCCAAAAAAAAAAAACAACCAAAACTGATTAGTGAACTCATTACTGGACTAAGAGTTAATATAATTGGAGCGTAGATATTCCTCTACCAGTTGTGTAATTTTGACTTAGCCTCATTTCTCAGCTCCTGTTCTTTCTTTGAGGTGTGGGAATAGGTTGAACTCAGGGCCTTGTGCGTGTTAGGCAAACACTGTGCCACTGAGCTACACTCCTAGTCTAATCCTACCTTTGTAAGGAAAAGAAGTTGAATTAAGTGATTCCTGAAATCTCTGTAGCTACTGAAGGTTAGAAAAAAAATACCATTGTTTACTTAAATAATTTTATTTGGTTTCGAGATGCTGATATTTTCCCAAGGACAGTGGCTTTTTTTATGGAGGTATTAATCAGTCACAATGTGCTTTGTTTAAAAAAAATGAGCAAATACCTCCATGTATCAGGTTCTTCACCAATTTCTTTATTTCTCACAGTAATTTTATGATGGATTATTTATCTCAGTTTTTTATGTGCATAAAGTATGGAATGGAAGTTAATTTGCCCAAGTTTGAACTGTTCTTAAGTAGTATTCTGGGATTCAAAGATCGAGCCCCACCATTATGATATGTTGTCAAGTAGAGCAGATGAAGACACGTAGTTTTGTAACTACCTATTTAATTATTATAATTAGTTCTCTAGAGAAGAAGTAGAAAGTGGTTTAAGAAAGTTTTCCTGTCCTTCCTCTCTCCTCCGTACTAGGGTTCGGACTCAGGGCCTTGTACTTATTAGGTAGATAGTCTACCATTTGAGTCATGCCCCAGCTCAAGAAAGTTTTAATAGCAGGAGATGATATAGATGAATGAGGAACTGAAAGAAGCCAATATACCTAGATCATAACAAATGAAAATGGAGAACAATAGGTGATTTTGATGAAGTAGACAAGAGGCTGAATCGGTTCTTTCTTATAGGTTATAATCAAGTGTGGGAGGATTTTATCCTAAAAACAGTAGAAGAGCATTAAAATGTTTTAAGGGTAGAGAATGTAAATTTGTATTTTTAAAAAGTAGTTTGGTTGTAATGGCAGAATGTATTAGAAGAGTGAAAAGAGACTAATTAGGACGCTATTGGTAGCAACCTGGCAAGGAAGTTGGAGTGACATTGGTGTTTTGGTTTAACACCATGCCAAGAACTAGAGAGAATTGGATGGCTATGAGGAGATATTGGAAGGTGAAATTGTAAGCAACAAATAGTACAAAAACTACTCTCCCTATATCCTTTCTGGCCAACTGAAATTAATTAATGGTATTGAAGCATTTCTCACAACTCAAAGCATCTCCAAACACTTTGATAGAACCTTCAAAAGGATCCTAGGTGGAGGGAAAAAAGATTTTCACTTACAATTTCCTGGTGGGGAGTGGAGAAACAACACTAGTAAATACTTTAGTTTTAATCAAAGTCTAGAGTGTTTAATCATAATTTTTAAACACCCCCCACTCCCCTCATACTGGGGATTGAGTCCAGGGCCTGGAGCTTGCTAGGCAAGTGCTCTGCCACTTGAGCCATGCCCCCCAGTCCTTTTCTTTGTATTTTGTTTTTGAGATAGGGTCTCCCTAACTTTGCAGGGGCTGGTTTCTTACTGGCGATCCTCCTGCCTCTTGCCTTTTGGGTAGCTGAGATTATAGGCTTGTACCACCTCACCAGCCTTATACTCTATAATATAAATTATAGTTTTTGCCCCTTGGCATTCAGATACATAACCTGATTTAAGAAAACTCAAAATAATAAAAATCAAAAAATGGATCCCTTTCTCACCTCTGCTGGATCTTTACTCAAATGTAAGATAAACCAATTGGTTATTTGTTCCCCAGATCTGTGTCTTAGTATGTATTTACCTAATTACTTAATCCAAAACTATAAGTTTTAGCCCTTCTTTGTTTTGTTTCTCCTGTCCTTTATATCCAGTTGATCAAATCCTTTCCCTTTTAGTTGTCAGTCAGGACCTTAGCTCAGGGATTGACAAATTTTTCTATAAATGGTCAGATAGTTAAAGTTGTAGACTTTGCAGGCTATGCAGGCTCTGTCTCTGCCATTTTAGTACTACTAAGGTAGGCTTAGATAATACAAAAACAACAGAGCATGGCTATATTCCAATAAAATTTTGTTCTACAAAACTGTATTTCGCCTATAGGGTGAATAAGTTTGCTCACCCCTGCACTAGTTCAGCTGGGAATATTTTCCCTCCAAGTGACCTTCCCATTTGCCTCTCACTTCAAATGTCTCCTTTCAAGAAACTCTGTCCCTGATCAGCCAACCTAAAATTAAACCCTTTACCTTTTTCACCTCCGTTGGATCTTTTAATCATACTTAAAACCATGTGAAAATATCCTTCTGCCTATATTCTCTTGCTCTGTGAGAGCAGATACTTTGTTTTACTCAATTTTACCTTTGAGACTATGTTTTTCTCATGATTGGTGTTTATTATACACTTGTTAATAAGTGATTATATGTTCATTTTTCTTATTTTCAGCAGATATGAAAGGACTGTGGATAATATGACTCCATCTTCACAAATAATTCAGAGATCCTTCTCTTCTCCAGAAAATTATCAGAGACAAGCAGTGGTAGGCTAATTATTTTTCAACTTGAGTTGCTAAAACAGAGTCATACTTAGTTAAAATATTTGTTATGTCAGATAAATATTTTTAATTAACTTTGTATAGTTGCAGGTTTTATTCCTTAAATTCTTAAGGCATAAATTGTTTATTATTTATTACTTACTTATTTAGTTACTTATGAATGTATGACAGGGTCTTACTGTGTAGCTCAGCCTGGCCTGAAACTCACAATTCTCCTGCCTTATCCTCTTGAGTGCTGCAATTACAAGTATGTGCCACCATATCTGGCTTTTAAAATTTTTAACATTTTCTCAAAAGACTATCATGATGTTTGTAGATTGAACATTCCTTTTAGTTTTTACTAGGATGACATATACTTAAACAAGATAATTAGATGTAAAACTATATTTTACATTGTATTTTTCTGTTCAGTCATAATTGGTGTTTGTATATACCACCGCTGGAAATTAAGTTTTTGAAGCTCTTGCTATCTGTCCTGAATAACTTTTTATCATAAACTTTCATTTAGTATACTTGCATCTTCTACTTAGATCAGCTGCTTGGTTTTGTTTGGTTGGTTTTGTTTTTTGTTTCTTTTAATTGTATTACCATAAGCTAGACTTAAAATCCTAGCTGCTTTTTTTAACTGTTTCTTTTTTTGTCTCCACTCATTTACCATGTTGGGTTTTTTTGTTTGTTATTTTTTGTCTGCCATTGTTCTTATATTTCTTTCTTCTTTTTCCTCCCCCGCCCCTTTGTCCAGATCACAATCTTAGCCTGTGATTCCCCAGGCTTCAGTCTTTTATAAGCCTGCAAGATAACTCTCAACAGGCAGATTTTGGGAACCTCTGGCCTAGTCAGTTATCATGTCTCTTTTCCCCTCCACAGTCCGTTTTTGTAAGCCTGTTTTGTCTATCTTCCAGCGTTAACTAACACTGTTAACTGCTTCTAAGCTCAACAACCTCTGAATTACTTGTTATTTTTTTTAGTCTGTCCTGTGTTTCTGCTATTTTTATTTGTACATTCTCCTTTTCTTCGAATAGCTACCCCTTGAAAGTTTCTGTTTGTGCTTTCTATGCCCGGATCATGTACCATGTACATGAAGCCTCTTCTGATGATACTGAGCTTCTCCTTCTTTGTTCTTTACGCAGTGATTCATAGTATAATTGTTTAGTGGGGCCTCTTATATATTCTATTCTTGAAGTCAAGGAGTAGTAGTTGTAGATATTTGTAGGTGTACATTAGATAAATGAAGTTAGTTTCAGTTATTTAACTTAGGTTTTGATTTTTCTCTGTTGTCTGTGTGGTTAACTATGACTAAGTATATATTGGCTTTGGTATCTAGAAATATTTGCAGTTAACATTTCCTTATTTTTCTCTTCCCTCAGATGAACAGTGTTGTGAGACAAATGTCATATGGTGGGAAATTTGGTCCTCTGCATGTGGATCAGTCAGGATTTTCGCCATCAGTTCAGTCACATAATCATACCTTTAACCAGTCATCAAACTCCCAGTGGCGTCAAGATACACCATCATCACAGCGTAAAGTCAGACAGAATTCTCACCCCTACCTAGCAGATAGACATTATAGCCAACAGCGTTACCCTGATCATGGGTCTGACTATCATTACAGAGGAAGCAGAGATGATTTCTTCTATGAAGAATGGAATCCTGATATCTGGAGCAATGACTACGATAGTAGAAGAGACAATAGTAGAGATGGAAAATGGCGCACATCTCGACACTAATAAGTGTTAAGAAGAATATTGCTTTACAGGGCCATTTTAGGCCCTTTTGACTAAGTTGGTCTGGAAATATTTTGAAGAACTACAGAGCAGCTTTACAAATTGCTACATTTCTTTATGAATTTTTTTAAACCCATATCTACAGTTTCATACATAAATGACAAGAATTGTGGTTCCAGTTTTATTAATTACCTTTCACCTCAGGGTTTTATGAAGAGGAAGGGGTTTTATGCAAGAGTAAGTGCCACAATTCCTAGTCATTTTTGACAGTGTAGTAAGGATGAATTGTATGGATTGGTTGTATTATAAAGCAAATATTTTAATTATCTGTTAACCTTTTGTATTGCAAGACATGTTAATCATTTTGGTATGTACAATAGAAAACATGTAAGTTGATAGTTTGGCTATCTGTATTTTGTCAACAAAATACAACTTCTCAGTGATTCGTTTGGTTAACTTTTGAGGAAATTTATATTTATTGGTTAACTTGGAGAATTTAAGTGTAAATTCTGTGACGTGCTCCATTGAGGTTTCTCCTGACTGCACATAAGAGTGTCAACCTACATATCCTACTTCTGAAATCTTAGGATTTAAAAATAAATCATGTTTGATGTATGACTGATCACTCAGGAAGCTGAATATCTATACGTATATTTTTACATTAAAAATTACAGTGTTGAGCTGGAGGCATGGCTCAAGTGGTAGAGCGCTTGCCTCGCAAGCACAAGGCCCTGAGTTCAACCCCCACTACTACCAGAAAAAAGGAAAAAATTACAGTGTTAATGTAAATTCCCTTATTAGGAAAAAATACCAATGCATAGTCATAAAATGATAAAATGTTTTACTGAAAGTACTCTTTTTGGGAAGAAAGATTAATGAAGCTTTTATGTGCTACTGCTTATCACTCAAAGTAGAAATTTTAACATTTTCAAAAGTACCCAGGATGTGTTCAGGACACATCTTATAGAAATTGTACAATTTGTTTTTTGTGCGTGTGAACATCAAAAAATTTAATATTTTCTGATTTAAAAAATTTTAAATCTTGTTTAACAAAAGGTTTTTTATATCAACATACTGTTTCCCTTTTATGGCAGAATTCTTTATAAAAATTCAGTTCTTGAAAAATTTGGATTCTTTTTAATGTTAACCACAGCATTTGTACCAGTTGTTTTTTAATATATTAAAACATAAAAAGGAGGGATGTGTTCTTTTTTTGGCATTACTAACTGTAGAGATAATTGCATTCAGTAAGTTAGCAATGTACTTTTTATTCAGTCTTTAACTTGGAGCATCCTGAAATACCTATTTTGTAGATAATGGAACCTGATGTTTTAGAATTAGATTTTCAGTAGCCTCTAGATTATAGTTTGGAGCACTTTGAAGTAGTTACTGTCCCTGGTCTCCAAGAGTTCATGTGTGCTCAGATTTTCTGTTTCTAAATGTATTCAGTTTTGTGTCTTGGTAAATGGAGCTATAAAACTACTTCGCATAGGGTGAAAATTTAAAAAAAAGATTAATAGGATTTGTTTTCAGTGAGCATGTTATTTTCAGGTATCATCTTCATGAAAACTTGATAGATTTGTATAGATTAACAGACATTAATGCTGCTTTATTGTAATTTATCTGTGGTTCAGATCATTTCATATTGTTTCACAGGACTGGGGATGTAGCTCAATGACAGAGTACTTGCCTAGCATGCACAGTGCCCTAGTTTCCATTGTTCCAGAGCTCATTGTGTTATTTTTTAAATTACTTTTTTGTTCATTTTGAGTAATTTCTATTGCTATGTGTTCTTCACTAATCTTTTTTTTCTGTAATGTCTAATTAGCAATTCCATTTGTATCTTCATCTTAGTCATTGTAGTTTTCCTCCCTATAAGTTTCATGTGGAGTTTTAAAATATCTTTGCTGTCTCTATAAGTAAATCATATAAAATATAGCTTACAGTAATTTTTAATTTTAAAAATTTAAGCTCTTGCTAGGTAGGTCAGGCTGGCCCTGAAATTGTGATCCTTCTGCCTTAGTCTCTTAAGTGCTAGAATTACAGGCATGTACCACCATGCCCGATTGAGTTTTTGGATGTATTTTCCCACTTTGTATGTCTTACAGTTTTGATTGTATGCTAGGCATTGCGAATTTTACTTTGTTGGATGATTGCTAATTTTATATTTCTGTAAATATTCTTGAACTTTGTTCAGGGGCACAAATTACTTGTAAGCAGTTGTATCCCTTCAGGGTTGCTTTTAATTTTTGTTAGAATTTGAGAAGTATTGATGTAAGACTTCTTTGAATACTTTAATAAGTGCTCCATGAGTTAGGAAATTTTCTACCCTGGCTAGTAAGAACACACACTTACTCTAATTCTTTAGGGAATTCTTTGCCTAACCTTGTTTAGTTTATCAAACCTATATGTTAATCAGTACTTTCATGAATACTAGAGAAAACCTGCAGGTTCTAGGAGGTCCCTTCCTGCACAGCTTACCCTTCCTCCATTCTGAGACGGCATTCAGTTGGCTTTGGTTTCTTTCCATGGACTTCTAGATGTGTTTCCTCAGGAAGCTTTGCAGGCTCTTCAAGTCCTGCCCCCAAACCTTCCACACCACAGCCTGAAAATCCCCTCCAGGTAGCAAGATGAGGCAATTGCAGGGTTCACCTCATTTCCTGTTTCTAAGGCATTACTGTCTTTTGTTCCTGATGTGTATAGTCTTTTTAAGTATTTTGCCTGTGTATTAGTTGTTTCAGGAAGAGGATGATAAATCTATTCCTTGTTACTTCATCTTGGCCAGAACTGGAAGTTAATCCTTGGGTTTTTACTCCAAAGCTTAAATATTTGTTTTTAGCCAACTGCATTGCAATTCTGACACTAACTACCTAGAGTTAGGTCAAACTTCCCAGGTTAAGGGGTTAGTTCTCTGTGAGACTGCCCTCAAGACAGCAACAAGCTCAGAGACTCCAAAGTCACTCACATTTCTGACTGTTTACAAATTCAGGGGTTTCCACTAGCCCCTAAGGTTGATAACTTACTAGAAAGAACTAGAAAAGAGTTATAGTTAAGATTAGTTTTACTGCAGCAAAAAGAAAAACCAGCCAAGGAGGCGAAGCACTGGGAGAGACCTGATTGAATCCTTGGTCACAACTTTGAATTCAATTTTTAGCCTCCTCCTACCAAGAGGGTCAGAGTGATACGTGGCTTAAAGCCCCAACCCTCTAATCACATGGTTGACCTTTCCAGCATGGCCAGGTTCCATGCTGAAACTAGGGCCCACCATGAGTCATCTCAATAGCATAAACTATCAGAGCTCACCCTGAATAATGAAGACACTCCTGTCATTTGAGAAATCCCAAGGCTTTCTCTGGAATCCAGAACAAAGGCCTAACTCTATATCAACTCTAAATGGGAACCATAGGTCCACCTTAGGTACATGATGATACAAAGCCACTATCACAGAACCTTAGGTCTCCCCTGCACTCCATCAAGAAACCATCTTTAGCTAAACTACATATTGCTGCTTTTCTCTCCACTACTAGCATTCAAAACAATTTTTAAAAGTTTGTATTTTTTTGGTACTGAGGATTGAGCCAAGGGCCTTGCTCATGCTAGGCAAGCACTCCACCACTGTGCTGCATCACCGTACTTTTTTGAGACAGGGTCTCACGGTGTAGCTCAGGCTGGCCTCAAACTTGCAATCTTGCCTCTGCCTCCTGAGAGCTGGGATTACAGGTGTGTACCACCATGCATAGTTTATACTACTTTTTAATAACATTAAATACAATTTTTTTGTTTCATATTTCTATGGAGAAAGTAAGATTGGTTAATAAGTCTAAAATCATGTATATCATTTAACTTGAGTCTTGGAATACTAAAATAATCGTGGAAGTGACATTTCCTAATAATTAGCACCTATTAAGCATTTACTGTGTGCTAAAGCCACTGTAACTATTTACAGAAAAGAAAGCCAATAACTTCCTCAAGATTGCACAGTAAGTGGAGTCCAGTTCAAATCTAGTCAGTCAAATAATTCCAGAGATCAAACTCTTAACTTTTAATTACGTGTGACAGCATAAAAGGTAGGCAAAACTATATGACTTGATGTTTGAAATTCTTACATTTGTGCTTAAATTGTTTTTAATGATTGTAGTATTTTTCTCTAAATGATAATAGAAAAGATGACAGGGATATAATTACTTATGTAACAATTACAGTTTTTATTCCCCAAAATGAAAAAAATGGACTGAATCATTAATATTTATTTTTGACATGCAAAGTTATTGATATAGCATTTTAAAACATTTGTTTTGCTTTCAAAACTTTATTCCTTAGAACAAAAAACCACATCCATGTTGGATCAAAAAAACTGAAAAGTTATTAAAAGCTTTATGCTGAGAACGCTTGATCCACTCTTGTCTCTTCCAGTGTTCTTCCCTATTGGTTCCCAGTAAGTAATCGCTTTTTAGTTTTAGTGTCCTTCCAGTGTTTCCTTGTGCAGATATGTTTTCCCTCTTTTCTCTCACATGGTACTTTTTTCACTTAACACTATGACCCAGAGGTCTTAAGCTGTGATTTTTTTAATGCAATTTTTATGTTTCTGGTAAGGAACACCCTTCTACAAATTTGCAGAACTGTTAAATTTTTATGTGCCTTCTTACCTTGCTTTATTTTGACTTTAGTGTAAATTAGAGTTTCCTTTGAAAAATAAGAATGTTCACAAATTTCATTAATTTTTCTTTGCCTGAGAAATAGGAGGGTGGCTTAGTTCCTGGTAGTGAAGTTAAAAATGTGATTTATCCCATTCATTCCAGTTATCTATCCTACAGCACATTTTATAGATGGGAAAATTAAAGTTGTTTCCTTTCCCATAAAAGAAACAAAACTGAACAATCTCATTTTTAGATATTAATACTACTTTAATGTTTTGAATCCTTATAATGTCTGGTATAACAGATACCAGCTTAAGTGTTTCCTTTTGCATTTGTGCTGGTCAGCTTTCCATCACAGGAACAAAATATCTCAGGCAATCAATTCATAAAGAAGAAAGGTATATTTTGACTTACTGTTTTGGAGGTTTCAGTCCATAACCAGGTGGATCCATTGCTTTTAGTTCTGTGGTGATGCAGAATATGGCAGGGAGCATGCAGTGGAGCAAAGCCACTCACCTCATGGTCAAGAATCTTTAGAGGGTGACATTCCAGATCCAAATAACAACAGTATTCTAACACAGTGTTTATACATGCTAAGTACTCCGTAAGTGTTTGAACTGAATTGAGATAAAATGTAGTTAGAATTTCATAAAAATCTTTACAGAGTTCCTATTTTATATGACACATTTCAATGTTTACAAGTTTGGTTGCTATTTTTAGCCTGTATTTTTACAGAGCACAGGATAAATGAAAAGGACTTACCATCTTTTATTCTTCTCCAGACCACTGGAGGAAAGTAAATAGCAGTTAAAAGTTATCAGCATAAGCCCTGATGTCATAATTTCTTAAGATGAATTTCCACAAGGCAGGAAGAAAAGTGATGATACCAACCGGTAAGTATTCCTGGGGTTCCTGCCACTTATTTTAAGATGCTTTATTAAGTATAGAACACTTTACAGGTGTGAAATAGTCTCATTACTTTGGTGACTACTAACTGGTATCAAGATCATTACTGTATGACTCTACACTAGTTCTATAAAAGTATAAAAATGTATTGTGTAAATTAAATTCTAGCTTATTAGAATGGGGACAAGGCATATCATAGGATAAAGCTCCCAGGGAACACAACTGTAATAATGTTAGGTTTGTGAACTTGCTGTATTAAAAGCATGAGGACCAGGGTCCTCTCCTATGAGGACATTGGGAGGATTTTTTAAAAAAGGGTTTGGAATGCTTCTAAAGATGATCTAGGGTTTGACGGGGGGTCACCTCTGGATTGATTATCACAGGCATTTTTGCTCAGGAGATGGGAGGAGTAAAGTGGAGGTGGGGAAGTCACTGGTAAGAAGCAGCAGCAGCAATAACAAAAAACCAAAAAAAAAAAAAACAACCCCATATGGCTTGTGTGGTGGTATACAACTATAATGGCAGCACTTGGGAGGTTGAGGCAGGAGGTTTGAAATTTTGAGGACAGCTGGGGCTTACATATTGAGACCCTATGTCAAACAAGCAAACAAACAACAAAACATGAAAACAGTCACAATAGCCAAGGGTGGAAGCAACACAAATGTCCACAGACAGATGAATAGATAAAATATGGCATATAATTATAATGGAATATTATTCAGTCTTAAAAGAAGAAATTCTGACACACTACTACTAAACAAACCCTGAGGACATTATGCTAAATGAAATATATAAATCAACTTATTTAAGGAACCTAGAATCAAAAGTCACAGGCAGAAAGAAGAATAGTGGTTGCCAGAGGCTGGGGGTGGTGGATGGGTAGAGATGGGCAGTTAGTGTTTAATAGGTACAAAGTTTTAGTTTGTGAAGATTAAAAAGTTTGGGAATGATGGTGGTGGTTGATGATTGCACAAATATGAATGTATTTAATGCCACTAAGCTGTGCACCGAAAAATATTTAAAATTATAAATTTTATGCTATGGATATTTTAAACAATTAAAAGATAATTAAAAAACAAACCAACAAAAACCCTCAAAAGCAGCGTCAGTCTCTCAGAAGGAGGCAGAAATCAGGAGGATCGCGGTTCAAAGCCAGCCTGGGCAGATAGTTCAGGAGACCCTACCTCAAAAAAAAAAAAAAAAAAATCCATCACACCAAAAAGGGCTGATGGAGTGGCTCAAGGTTT